GCGGTCTATACCAGCCTTATATAAAGCCTCAGGTGATTTCCAGCACCTTATACTGTAGAAACATCTAGAATGTTCGAGTACATACCGGTCCCGACTGACTAGGTATCGATAGTTATAGAAAGTTCTTCCATGGAAAATTCTAGAAGGATCTTGACTCTTCTAGTTCTGCCACTCGATATTAGAGGGCGTTAGTGGTTACTAATGTTGCATGTACTAGGCATTAATGGTGGCGCTCAAGAATACTATGTAGACTGTAGATGAAAAAAATGTTTTTCATTCGATTTTATGGGGCTACAATTCGTAAGCTCTATCCCCGACTACTAAAATTAACGTAGAAACTTAACTTTAACATCGTTCAAAAATAAATTTCTAATCGCTCACAATGAGGCCGCCGGTTTCCGTTAGTAACGTCGAACGAAACCATTTACACTACTTGTAACTATCCTCGTTGCCACTGAGCAACAAAACATGGGTTACAGACTTGAGCTTTATTTGCGTATAAAAGAGGGAAGCTGCCAGAATGGCACAGCCCCTTATACATAAACTATGTTATGACTTTCTTTTACATTGATATTTTTTGGCACTGCGCACACAGTAAATATATTTATTTACATACATTACAAGTATGGATTAGTTTATGTGCTTGTGTAAAAAATAAAGGATGAAGAAAATGATAAGGATAGCCTTATCATTTTCTTCATCCTTTGAAAATCATTATTTCTAGAATTTCATCAGACTGTAATAATTCAGTGCTGGAGTGCATGGGTCAAGTAGGTAGAGTTCACCGTAATCGCTATGCTTGGCAGGCGAATCGGCCAACTGGTACGTTTCCGGCACCTTTGTCTCTATTTCCTGTCCATACACCAGATGAATATTTTACAATGTTATTAAGTAGATATATTATAGATATCCTTTACCAGTTATCGACATCTATTAGAGGCCATTAGTACTTCTTTTTCTTCTCCTTCTTTTAAAAACGTCACCCCCACACTGGAACTTCGTCTTTTACGTACATAAATTGTACATTAACAAACCAACATCCAACCCGATACAATCAATTCTAGACCATACAAATTGTTTTTTTTTTATATAAGAGGGGGCAAACGAGGATGCGACTCACTGATGGTAAGTAACTGTTTCGAGTGGGGTTCTAAACCACAGCCTGCAGCTCCGCCAGCTAAACGCCACGAAACCGTGCTTGCCATGGACATATCTTATGATACCTCACTGGACTTAATGGACTAGTGGATTCATTCTAATTTTTAACTAAGTTCAAAAAACAAGTAGGTTCTATATTCGATGTGTTTGTTTTTATGTATTAACACCAATTCCTCGGAGACTGCTGAACCTGTTTAAATAATTCTTTTTTTTCGTTAAATACATTTCAGGGTCGATCCTATATAAATGTGCAAAAATAATTCCAATCATACGGATAGAAAAGTAGGGAATAAAGTTTTTAATGTAGCCATTTAGATAACATTTTAGTTGTTTGTTACCTCGAACTTGTGATATTCCTTAGACCACTTGCAGAGCAAATAATTAAATTTCTAATTAAAACATCCCATGAAGTCCTTTATTTCTTCTATACGCTATCACCCGTGTACACAAACAATACAATGCGAGACTCAAAGTGCGCTCGAACGCGGAGGGTACAGAAATCATAAACAATACTTACGGGACGATCGACAAAATGCTATGGGTTTGAATGCACAGGTAAAGTAGCTCGCTAGCTAAATTACTTGGCATAGTGTGAGTTTTGTTGCTTGCCTCAGTGATTTTAATTAAATTGCTGTTATATTTTCTTCTATTTAGTTTTGTTGTGATGGAAAATTGTGATGGATTACAGTAGCGAAGAAGAATATTTTAATTATATACTTTGGGGAATAAGTCTACAAAGAACGATCAACACAAGTATAGTGGACACGTGACTTTCAAAATCCTTTAAATTATTACAGTGTCGATGATTTTGAAGTCAAGACTTTCATTATATGGTAACAAAAAATGAATTAAAAGTAAAAAATATTTTTTTAAATAAGCCTTTATTGAAGTGCTCTAAAAAAAAAAACAATTTACACAATTTATATATTTATATAAAAATTAATTTTTGTTTGTGCGTATTTTATGCGCTGTCATGCCGTTTATCAGATTGCGCTAAAACTGTCATCTTATTGCTAGCACTAAGACACTAACACATATTAATTTTTTTTATTGCCAGCAGTTGACCCTTGTCGATCCCTACAACATTTGTTCAAACACCACCAAACTATTCCTACCCCTAACTTGTAACTCTTTAAAATTGGTATGGCGGCCATCCTGTTCTCCGCCATTTTGAATTGTTTTCACCACCGCTGGAATTTGCTCAGGGTGTAGGCCTTTATTAGTTAAAACGCGACCCCGCTGTCTTACCGTTTAGTCGCGTAGCAATATACCATATCCTCGAAGAGCTGATCGCGGACGTCAATTTAATCTTATTCTTCTCAGCGAACCCTTTTATTTGATGTCCATATCATGTTGGATATTAAAAAACATAGTCCGCCATCTTCGGGAGTCCACCGTATTGGATATAGAGTGACGTCATTTATATTCGTATTCTTTACAGCAAACTTTCATTTGATGTCCATATCATGGGGTGCATAAATAAAACATAGTCCACTATCTTCGGGTGTCCACCATATTGAATTTTTTTGGAGTATATACTATATTGGAATGACGTAATGTTATTTTCGTTTCGCAAACCCTTTCATTTGATACCCATAATATCATAGGAGTCCATAGTTAATAACCTGACCGCCATCTTGTGCCGTTTGCCATATTTGTTTTAGTATAACGTCACTTGGCTAACCAGGCATTGTCATCAAAACTAAACATGTATCCAAAATCAATCAGTTAAGGATAACTGCTTTAAAATTCAGTTGCAAGATTCGGCTAACAAACAAACATTGCAAGTTAAATAAAAGTTATGGGCAAAGATATAGTCCTTGCCAATAGCTTTTATAAAACACTACACACTGATTATAATTATATATCACTACGTTTAAACACTGGTTATGACTAGAGAATTCAATTACACATTGAAAAAACATTTGACTTTTTTATAGAATAAGGGTGGCAAACGAGCACACATTTCACCTGATGGTAAATGGATGCTTTGACCCATAGACATCTACATTTCCTCATTTAAGAATCAAACTTCAAATGTGTTGTCACCCCTGAGGACTAAGATAGAATCCCGCGTTTCCAGTAAAAAGGGTCTCCGATTCTCTACACTCATGACATGAAATACAGCAGCACAACATTAAGCAGCTATGTTGCGCTGGTATTTTGTGAGAGCCTGGTCCTTCACCGGTCGAGCCGACCCATTCGTGCTACAACCATACGAGCTGCAGCATGGCTCTACTACGCGTAGAACGCTTTTTTATCCGTCAATCAACTTCATTGAAATCGCATCAAAACGTTAACCAATCATTGTCCCATTCAATGCTATGCGTACGCATAATAAAAAGTCCCTTGAGTATATTGTTCATGAAATGAATGGCTTGCCATAACGCACTTACTTATCATATCGTTACGTAGGACATTCAATAAGTTTTAAGATATACAAAAAGTATTCTAGATACTATTAATATTTATTTTACATCTTTTCAAAATATTCTCCATCATGATCTATATAAAGTTCCATTCCCCTAAACCAACTCTGAAAACATTTTAGCTGCTGACAGGTCGGAAATCGCTTCTTCGTAGGCAGCCACGGCTTTTTCGGCGCTTGAAAAAAACTTGCCTTTTAATTTTTCTTTGACTCTTGGTAACAAAAGGAAATCCCAAGGAGCTAAGGCTGTAGGATGGGTGACTTAGAGTTTCAACACCAGATTCCTCAATAAATGCTTTTGTTCTAAGGGAGGTATGTGAAGAAGCGTTATCGTGATGCAGCATGATTCCCCGAAGCCCGGTCCTTGGTCTTCTCTCCCGCACAGCTTGAAAAGCTTTGAGTAATGCAACTGTAGTATACCATTCCGAGTTGACTGGCCTACAATTTTCTAGCATTGACGTCGACAAATGTCCGCTCCGCGAAAAAAAACTAGCCACCATTTTTGCCGACGTTGCGAGTCTTTGCAGTTTTGTCGGTAACTGTCCTTCTGAGTAGACCCATACCGATAATTGCCTTTTATTTTCCGGATCATATTGATAGATCCATGTCTCAACACCAGTGGCGATTTCCGAAACATACTTAGATGCCACGTTTTCAAAACGTAGACGCATTTCGTTTTTGGCTTTCGGAGAGCAAACGAGGGATCCATCGACAACAAAGCTTCCTCATTCCAAGATGTTGATGTAAGATGGTATCAATGCTCCCCGAACTAATACCTACAATCTTTTCGATGTCCGTATATGTGATTCGTGGGTCTTCTCGCACCAACATTTCAGTAGTCCATACATTGTCTGCCGTTAATGCTGTTTGCGGGGCCCCGGTTCTTTGGTCATCTTTAAGATTAATTTTACCCCTTTTAAATTCAGCAAACTACCTAAAAAGTGTTGCGCGTGATGGAGCTGAGTTTCCTAATGCTGATTGTAACCGTTGTAAACTTAATTGTTCGGTTAAACTAAATTTAAAATCATAATATATCATAGCGCGCAAATGTTCACGGTTAAGATCCATCGTTTTAAATGAAAAGCGCGGGAAGCGTTGCAGGAAAATTAATAGAACTTTGTTTTTTTTTTTAATACTGAGCAATTGGCTTATGGAGTTCTATTTTTAAATAAATTTGCTTTTTGAAAACATATGTAACACGGGTGCGTTCCATTTTTAAATTTCGAGCAGCTCAAAACTTATTGAGTGACCTAACGTACTTTTATATTTAAGACAGTAATGTTTGTAAATACGCACATTAATCTTAGCACCGACTTCAAAAGCTATTAGGTGGAAATCATATTATTCCTTTTAGTTTGTGAAGTCAACCTTTTCTTTCTATTAAAAGTTTAATTTTTTATCTTACATTTTTCAGGACACCCGTCTTGATGACCAGCGTACTGAGCTCCCTCGTCCGAAACCCGAAGAACGTCCTAAGACATTGCCGGATGACGATTTCTTTGCACTGCTGATGCGCGCCCAATCAAGCCGCATGGAAGATCAGCGAGCTAGCGTGAGTACCGTAGTATAAATGATTAATTTAGTTTGAGAGGGCCATTGACATTCAATTTGAAAAAGTCCTTTTTTTATAGGATAGGGTGACAAACGAGCACACGGGCCACCTTATGGTAAATGGTTTCTGTGGCCCGTAGACATCTACATCTATCCTCGTTTGTAAATAAAATGCAAGTGCATTGTCTGTCGTGAGGACTAGGAATGCCTCGTTTCCAGTAAAAAGGGTTCTGCTTCTCTACACTCACCATACGAAACACAGAAGCGTTAAGATGCTATTTTACGCTGGTATTCTGTGAGAGCGTGTGGCCCTTCTCCGATCGAGCCGACCCATTCGTGCTACAACTATACTACTAATATAGCTGCAGCATGGCTCTACCATGCTTTAAACTAGAAGTTGTCTTTGAATACCGGCATTTCACAGTAATAGTTCACTGTTACCATTAGAAATCTTTAATTGCCTTTCTTAACTCAGTACTGAATATAATATATTTTATTAGATAGAGCCACTTCTCGAGTAGGTATATTATGATAGTAGCCCGAATAGGTCGGCTCGACCGGGGAAGGACCACGCTTTCACAGAATATCAGTGTAAAACAGCAGCTTAATGCTGTTTTGATTCGTATGAAACGAGGCATTCCATCTTAGTCCTCAGGAGTGTCAAAGGGTCATCATTTTGATTCTTAATCGAGGATAAATGTATATATATGTATACGGACCGCAGCATCCACTTACCATCAGCTGGACTTTGTGCTCGCTTGTCTCCTGCATTCTATAAAATAATAGATATAATATTTTTATAAAACAGAAATAATATTTATTTATAATAAATCTATAAAAAAAATATTTCTGTTGCTAAATGTTTCGGCCTGGAGAGTATAGAGCCAGTTTAATTAGACGTCTCGTGGCATTCCACCTTAGTCCCCACGGGTGACAACGTATCTCTAGCCTTTTTTTGTTTAAAGTTGACTGCAGGTATACTGCAGTAACCACTTACCATCAAGTGGACTTAAATTTTGTTTGTCACTTTATTTTATAAAAACTGAGTTATCATGTATGCACCATCTTGAAAGAGTTGCCCTTACTAACGCTAATTTAAGTAAGTGCAAGTTGGCGAGAAAAGTGCTGTGGCCTTCGCACTGGTAATTCAGCTTCTCATCACCAGGATTTCGTACTCAAGTCTGGTATTAAACTCCATCTAACTACTATAAGAGACAAATAGGTGAGTGCGCTGGGTACACCCAATAATTAAATACTGCTTGTAGGAATACGAAAATGGAGTAATTCGCTAATCGATGACATTGAAGTTAGTCTGGATTGGTACAATACTTGAACGTATTTCCCGCAGGCCGTCCATTGATGTGTTGTGGTCTGAAGAGAGGCAGTTTAATTCCAGACTGTGAGGCATTCAGTATTAGCGAGAGGCAGCTTAGAAGTGACGATGTATAAGTGCCCTTCTTAGTGTAAAGTTGGTACTGGTGCAATGAGCTGTCGCGTTTATCTTTTAACATATTTATTTATGAAACTGAAGTGACAACTAAAGTTACAGTGCACTTAGTGGTAAGTGACTACAGCACGCTATTGATACTTACACAGCCAACTTCAAACAAAGATGGCTACATATACGTTGTCACCTGTGAGGACTTAGATGGATTGGCTCACACCCGCACAGCTTCTAATTTCAAATAGCTAAAAAAGTATAGAATAATTTTAACGTAATAGCTTCAACAGTCGGAACATTAATACACTGTGTCGTAACACCGCTCTGAAACTGTGCGGAAAATGTTTTATTCTTTACAGTTCTAAGGACACAATTTTGTTTGCCATTTGTAATAGGTACTGTGGCACACTAGGAATTGATCTTGTACCATACCTACAATATGTCGTTCATATATCGCACATGGACATTAACATAATTATATTTCAGATTCCGTTGAAGGAAACTCGCGCCAACAAGGGCGATTTAAACTCAAAGAAGTAAATGAATAATCAACGTTCAGCGGCTCGCACTTGGAGCTACGCACTTTAAACAACTTTATTTCAACAGGATTGAGTTGTTATTTCATTAGCGGGCTCCTTACGTGACAACACTGTAGTATACCATTTGGTTTAGAATAAAATGCACAATGCCATATTAATATATCTTAAATGTTTGAGGGGATTTTTCTTGTAAATGAAAGTTGAAAGTTATCGGCTTTTTTTTTCAAATACAAGAATGATTGAGCAGATACTACTCTGTTGTAATGTTAGCTATTTGGATTTGAATAAAGGATCTCTCGTTTAATTTTTTAAGCTTTCCGTTTCCCTTTGAATTCGTGAACTGTTGTCAGGGGGAGCGTCCTACATTAAAATATCAGGTTCTTTGTGTGGTTCTTCAATGTTACATTATCGGTGTTTATTGCACGTAATATATCTGTATGACCGTTAGTTAGCACATATTGGATAAATATTAAGTATCGTATTAATAAATTGTTTACAAAGCGGGAAAATTTGAACCAAAATGTAACTATTGGGCGCATACATTAAGTGAAAGTACCTTGATATTATATCGACGGTGAAATTTAGATAATACTTGAAATAATTTAAAAGCGAGCTTAAAAGCAAATTATTAATACGACAGAAATAAAGCACATAATATATGGACGTCCTTGTTAGTTGTAATTAATATTAGAAAAATATTAACTATTAAACGTTTGGTGTTCAATGGATATTGATGTGTGAATCTTCTGATAACATTTCTGACAACAAGCGTTCTTTAAATTACAAAACGTTTCGAATTACTATGCGATATCTCTATAAGTTGAATTATTATTAACTGAAAGATATGTGTATAATATAACTTGTAACATTCCAATTTTAAAATACACGTTCCTTTTCGAATCCACGTCTCCAAGGAAAGAATATGTCTGCAGCCACTGCTAAACGTGTCACAAATATGCATTATAATAATACACAAAGCACATAATTTCTATAGTTATATTAAGCATTTCTTTTGAAATTAACATTCTGTCAAAATGTTTACCCCCAGCACTCAGAGCAACAAAGAAAGATATACTAAGCGCTGCTATATCAAGTGACACTGAAACTATGCTCAACTGGCTCATCTCACGCACACATGCAACTGAAACCAACAAGATAGTTATAAATTATTCTAGATGCTATTATGTGCATGAGTGCGTGATCTTACAGCGTGGATTAGTAACGGCGTTACTTAAATGTACGTAGCGCCTCGTCTATCATTTCTTATTGTTCTGAACCTTAATAGCATTAAAAGCATTTTATAATTTTGTTTCCTTACCATTGGCATATTATATAAAATTGTAAGGTTTCTTTACGGAAATGTCAAATTTGAGTAACAAATACAACTATGGAGAATAAAGGCAAGGAGTATCATCCCTATTGTGTCTAATGGCGTTGTATAAATTAAGTTCATTGAAAATAAGAAAACGCTTTGAAAGTTAGTGTTGGGCCAAAGATAAAAAAGCATGTAAAAATTGTTTATAAGAAACCGGTTCACTAACGACGGTATGAAATGGTATGTTGTAAAAAGGTTAGAGAGGTATGTACTCTGTAGGATAGAAGGAGTACGCTCTTTTCTTGAAGGTCCCTAAGTCGTATCGGTCCGGAAAAATCGCTGATGGTAATCGATTCCACAAGGAGGTCGTTAATTGCGTTAATTATCGGTAGCTTTTTTAAGTAGGTGGGTTTCTTTAAATAAACGTTTTAACCATTGGTCTAGTTTATATATTGGTATCGACCATTAGGCTACTATCGTTGTCCTCTGGTCCTTTATTAAATCGCCATTCCAAATTTTTTTTTGTTTTTTCAGATCAAGCCTATTAATTCATAGTGGGCTTTGAATAGTTTAAGACCTATACGAGATGGTCCTCCTAACCTTTTCGCTCCATAATTTTGTTATGTTTTATGTGCATATTTGGAAAGATTTGACATTATGATTTCTTTAGCACAATCATAGTGTACGTGTAAATTTAAATTGCGGAGTGTTCAGTATCTAAGCATTACAACTTGATTCAATTGGCTGTAGCAAAGTCTAGGCGTGGACATTTTTCTACCCACCTATGAATAAAAATATTTAATGTAATAGCCCGCCGTCTACTTCTGTATTAAGAGTTCAGCGTTACACAACATTTTGTGGCGTGAATGATCTAGTCGAGTTCAGATCATGTATATAGTAAATTTGTGATGTATAATACTGCTACAGTACCCGGCAGTAAATATTACACATGGAGCTATAGAAGGAAATAATCGCCCATCGGCTTCGTAGAACGTTGTCTCTGTCACTCATATTTGTGTGACGTGACGTTTTGTGGGACAAGGTGTCTCAGGAGATACGTTCTCTTTATTAACTAACAATCAATTTATTAACTAACGATCAAGTATAATATTCGTAATTAAGTTTATGTTGCTATTGTTTCTGTGATTAGTCAAACTAGCTAATATTCCACCTGATGGTAAGTGGGAATTGCAGCCTATAGGAAACTGTTAGCAACTTCAAGTGCCACATAGGCTTTGTTATCCCAGAGTACTAATGCCTCACAGTTTATAGTAATTTTGGCCGTACATTAATCTATATTACTGGAATTTGACTTGTCAGTTGTGGGGCGGTTGCACCCACTTCAAAATAATAAAACCCTCAATGTAGATTTATTCTACGGCAACTAATATAAATAAAGTTACATAGTTTGTAGTTAGTTGTTGTAATTTTTTTTAATTAGGCTTCTGAGGAAAGCTATCATAAGAAGTTTTAATTGTAGGCGTTTATAGTCTATTTGAAAATCGTTAAGCTTTTAATACATGCCCCGGACTGTTAGCTTGCATGCGTCAAAGATGATCCAATATAAAACTGAAGATACCGATGATCGCATTCTAAAGCTTGACGTGTAATATTTACTGCATTTAATGGGTACTATATAGGTATTATATTATTTAGTTTTGTCCAACACAGGGAACAATTGATATTTCAAAAATATTTACACACAAAGTCCTGGTCCACGGCTAGGCGTAGCACAAATATTGTGACTAGAAAATTGGTAAAAGACTAATGATAACAGTGTAAAAAAAAACTTTATTTTTTGTATTTATGATTTTATAGTATTTATTTTAACTGATCTTTGTAATATAGTTTATAAATTTACAATACCCTAGAAATAAGACTTATTTAAGGCTGAAACTGATCTTAATAACATAATTAACTATAAAGTGGAAAATATTGTTAACAGTGTAAAAGATTTATCAGTGTTAAAATCACGATTGGTTCAAATATGGAGGCCACTAAGATTGATCTTATCTGGTTATATTAAATCTTGTTGAAATCAAAGAATGGTAAATTGATATTTGTATATGTATACTGTAAGAATATAAAATCTTCATTAATAATTGATAAAATTTAAAGAACTGTTCAAAATGTATAACTTCAGAGTCTATTCTTTGTGAATAAATAAGGGGTACCACTATGGAATTGACTTAGTTTAAATTGAGATAGGTAATATTGTTGTATAGGCCCGTATAAATAATTTAATGAATGGCGCACATGGACTTAGAAATGTCTTGAAGATAAAATCATAAACTATACTGTATGTGAATAGTATGTAAATATATATCTTATAAAATAATTAAGTTGTATCAAACAATATTAAATAGAATTGATGCGTTCATATAATGAAATTTTAGGTAAATACATATTTGATTTGCTTTACACTTATCTGCCCAAACATATCAAATATTGAGATTAAAATATCTTAAATCCTCGAAATGAAAAGCGTTCCTACCCGTTTCACATTAGACCTTGTCAAACTTACCGATGAGGCCACTGACATATTGTGCGCAGTAGAAATATGAATTTTTCAGGAAAATTTCGCGCGGTTTGCATCATTGTTCATTTGTTCAACTTCAAATCAGGACCACCTTACTTAAAACCAATCATCCTAATCTACAAGAAATCAATTTAGTAAAAATATTCGAAAATGTTTTTTTTTTTTAATAATAACTCGTTCCTACTTATTATAATCGATCATTATAGCTTATATTGTATTGGCATGTATAGAGAGACAGAGAGAGACACAGAGAGAGAGAGAGAGAGAGAGAGAGAGAGAGTAACTTTAATAATTTCTTTGATTTTTATAAGGAAGGCCGATTATGTTTTTATAGTGAAACTGTTTAGAAAGTATAAATAACGGTTTATTATATTCTGCACCATGTATATGATATAGTGATGGGCTCTCTCAAGCCTCCGACATACAACCGTAAGCTTGGTTATATATAGTTATCTAGGTTACCTTTGTTAAGTTGACAAATGAAACTTTAATTTCTTATACGAAACATTCAAAATATTTCATTTTATTTCAATTAAAAGTATCAGTATTGTATTTCTGAACGAAGTTCTGAGAAGTAGAAGTAAGGAAAGAGACAACGCGGTTTAAATCGACGTAATGGCCGACGGAGTCATCTAAATTGTTTTATTTCAGGACGGATTGATTCGTAGAGTTATTGTGGTTATTGGTATTATTACTAATAGCTTGGTGCACAACTAATTGTTAGTAATATCTCATTTGGAACTAAAATACTTGTAGCGAAGCAAGCAAGCTGCCAGAATTGTAAGCAAATATTATTGATCCGGTTATAATTATTTATTTGCTTTCAAAAATCGCTGTTTGTGTTTTATTACTTTGACATTATTTCTGTGGGGAAAAAAAACTACTTTTATTATTGAATATTAGTTTTCAGCGTGTTTTGTTTAACATTACATTTTATCAACTTTGTATGCGTGTCGAAAATGTTAAATTTACGTTTATCATGGACAGTGTATAATGATATGCATATTTATTATCAAAAAATTTAACAAATATACGTCCGATATTTTTGTCAATTAGAAAGTTTTATTTTTATACAAAATACTATAAAACTGTTGAATACACTTCACATTTTTAGGTCTATGGGGACGGAGTTTAAGTAAGGATAGGA